ATTGTTGTTTGGCGGGTCCGGGCTGGGGATTCGAACCTGCCACCTTAGGTGTACGTGGCTGGTGCCTTAGCCGGTTGAGCTATATGCCCCGAGCCTATATATGCATTTTTTATCAGGGACTTGGGTATCCATGGGAGGCCCTGGAACCAATCCCCATGGGTACCGTGGGACAAGCATATTCCATTCCATGTTAGTGTTAGACTTCTCACTGGAAATAAATCCACATGCTGCTTTGTTTCTACCTGGGCCTGTAAGGTTGGATTCTGTTAGTCTACCACTGAAAGCCACAGCCGTTCTCAGGGAGCTCAACCTCTGGGCCATGGCAAATTCATGAAGGTAACACACACAATCTTGTGCAGCTTCTTGGTACACAGGCTGGCAACCTACCCTGACACTGTCCTGGCCAAATGAGGCTGTTTTTCTAATTTGAGTCATCTGTCTCTCAAAATGGGTGTATATTACTTGATAAAGTAAGCATTGAAAGTCTCTTCCCTTTGCCTAGTTCTTGCATGGCTCTCCTCTTCCAATCCCCTATCTCTGTAACTTTCACTTATGATACAGCTTCATCATCATTCTTGGTGGCTTCAACAACCACACAGATAAACCATTCTCTTGAGCCCACATCAATCAGACATTTGTCTTCAACCCTCCATGGGTTGAACTGCAACCACGCAGTTTTGCAAGCGTGTACCTGAACACGGTGTTAGCACATCCAACGGCCAATGTTGGTCTTCACATCATTCCTGCTTTTGACAAGATTTGACATAGTTTATTTTTTCTTTTTCTTCTTAAAGCATTTTTTTTTGTCTTGGCCTTGGTGACACCAGATTTTCCTCCTACCTCATTGGCACGCTCTCAGTTTCCTTTGCTAGTTCCTCTTGACTCTAAACGTTGCATCTCAGGAATTAGCCTTTTAACCTCTTCTCTCTTTCTCTCTTATTTTTTTTAATCTAAACTCACTCTCTGGATACTCTCCTCCAGTCTATAGTTTGAAATACAGTGAATATACTGATGACCATGAATTTGCATCTGTAGCCCCAGAGTTCCCTGAGATCCACCTGCACATATACAACTGACTGGCATTTTACTTGGGTATCTGATATGCACCTCAGACACAACACATCCAGAATAAAACTTCTGACTTCCCCCAGTCAACCAGCTTTTCTTCTTGTCTCCCCACATCAGGGTCAGGCATTATCTTTGATTTCTGCCTTTCTCTCACATCACAAATCCTATTCACCAGCAAATCCTATTGACTCTACTTTCAAAATATCACCCAATGTGGCCACTTTCATCATCTCTGTCACTACATCAAAGTCGCAGTATAGATTACTAAACTGGCCTCCTAACTGCCCTACTTCCACTCTTGCCCTTTATGTAACAGTATGTGCTTTACACAGCAGCACCAATGGTATCTTTAAAACATAAATAACATCACATCATAAATTCCACTGGCTTCCCTCCATACTTTTCCTTACCTGGGCACATAGACCCTTTTGTGATCTAGCCTCTATTCACCTCTCTCCATTCATTCCCTGCCACTTTTCCCATCCCTCACTGTTTTTAGCCACACTGGCCTTCTCGCTGGCCTTCCTGTTGTCAGTATACTCAAGCTCATTCCCACCTTCCAGCCTCAGCACCTGCTCTTCTCTCTGCCTGGAAGGCTTCTTCTCTAGACACCTGAGTGGCTCCTTCCCTCACTCATTCAGGTTCTGCTCAAATGTCACATCTAGCAAGAGGCCTGTTCTGGAGGCCCCATCTGTAACCCCTCCTGCCCTTCCTTGTTTGCACCCTTCAATCCCTTACCTACTTAATTTTTCTGCATAGTACCTGTCACTACCTGAAAGTTGTTTCTTGGCCTATTAATTGTCACTCAACTATAAGCTGCATGAGGACAAGGAGTTGGTCTAAATTTTTTTCACAGCTGTATCCTTCAGCACAGGAAAAGGTGAAGATTCTCACCTTCATTTGCTCTCAATACATTTTGATAAACTACTGACCAAATGACTTAGTAGCCATCATAAATAAGTTAATACCGTTCTCTGACTTATAAGAAGCTGGCCAAGAATCCTCTCTCTTCTCCTGCATCTTCTCTCCAAAGTGTGCATACTGGGTTTAAACTTGTTATTTGCCTGGTTTTATTTTGCAAAACTTTTTCATGTTTTATTGATTTCTGAGAAGATTCTGTCACAATCAGTCTTCCCTGACACCAGATGTCACTCTGATATCAGAATGGTCTCTTATCTGGGGACAAATACACTATAGTGGAAATCTAAGTGTGCAAAGCTTTCAGCTGGGCCAGAGGTCACCTGGCACTTCTCCCATCACTACCTGCTGGGACTGAGGACTGCTGAGCACACTGGTTGGGATGTCAGAAGGCTGGCAGCAGTGAACAGAGAAACCAAGGCAACCCGAGGGAAATGGAAGTAAATCATGTAAGTAACAGGTTCCTGTCCTGAGTTTACAGGTGTTATAATCATAAAATAACATACTATTTCATTATTAAGCATGATAAAGAGGAACTGAAAATCTGCCACTCTTTATATTATGATATAAAAATAATCATGTGCATATATATCATGTAATAGATATGTCAGAGAACTGAATGGAGAAATGATTAATAAAATTTTAATCTTACCTGTTATACATAAGGCGCTTGAAATCTTGAAATAAAGTGTCTTTATTTTTGTCAATAAAACCAATGACAGAATAACTAATAGGGGAAAAAACACAGTAAACATACATTATTCACCAAGCAAGAGCCACATTTAAGCTTTTCTCGGAGTCTACAAGCCTTTCCACTGCTAGTTATATAATCAAGCATCCAGCTGATCGTTTCTACCTTGTTTTGTGTTCAAGGATACCAAATTTACCTACTAAATAGAAGGACATTGCTTCTATTCAAAAGGAGAGCAAATGTCAGTACCATCGTTATGAGTAAGATGATCATTTTCTACTGGTTTATGGCTTACCTCAAGAAGATGACTTTTAAAAAGATAGCTGTATTATCATCCAGCATTCCTAAGATAAAAGCAAAACAGCAACATACAGGAACTAAAGTCTCATCCGTAGGGAGGTCAAGTGACTTGCCTAAGGTTCACTCAATGTTCAGGGTAGGACAAAAGAATCCAAGAAGAACTGCAAAGGATGGTAAGAATTGGATAAGCAGAAGAGAAAAAGGCAGGCAGATCACACAGGGAAATAGACTGAATGGAGGACGGAAGTAGGCACATGCATGGGGGTCGTGGAGAGAAAATGAAGAGGCCGGAGGCAGGGAAATGGGTATGGTCTGGAAGTCCAGCTAAGACCGCAGCTGTGAGAAGAGTGGGAAAGGCCTGTGCTACTCTAGGGACTAGTGTGGACTCTGGAAGGAGCAAATTCAGGGTTGAGGATAGATGGATAATCAATACAGACGGAGGAGGGTGAACAAACAACGACTCTAGACACAACTATGCCTCAGAGTTCTGCTCTCGTCTGTCGCTGTTCTCCTCCTTGACAATCCCATCAATGCAGACAGCCTCCAGGTGTTCATCCCTGACCGCCTGACTTACATGTCTAGTTCTGCAAGAAAGTTCCTTTAGGCTGTGCTGCCCACAAACACTTTAAGGTCACCACATCCAAAATTTTTCCTTGCCTGCCCCAACCTAGGTCTTCTTAACACCTTCTGGTCACCTTTGACTGATTCCTATCTTATCCACATAATTTAAACTTCAAAGTCCTATTTTGGCTTTCAAGATTCAGTGTGATTTGATCTCAAGATACTTTTCCAGGCATTTCTAATTCTCTGTACTACAAAAAAAGATACGCTCCAATCAAATGGACCTAGTTGCTATTTCTTGAATATTTTTTAGCACCCTTCCCACTTCTCCCTACAAAAATAATTCCTAGCAACCAAAGACCAGCATCGGCCTCCTGGGTTGATCATACACAGCTAGAAGCATTATATCATATCGTTACTCTAAATTCTGGCAAACTGGCTATTATTCATATAACCATTATTTTGGACCATTTTTACTACATATGCATGTATATGTGTGAGTGTGATTACATGTGTATAAATACACATACAACTATTTATGCATGTATGTATGTATCGTACATGGAAAGTTCTTTGTGGCCAGTGACCACACCTTGTAAAGTATTGAGCATACAGAGGATACTCTGTAAAGATCCAGAAAAGAAAAGATTTGGAGGGCTTAAGGAGAGAGTGGAAGTCCGAGGCACTGAATCTCCCTCAAAGGGGTCAGTTAGAGCTCTGAAATGGGAGTGGGGAAACCTAGTTATTATCTGAGTTCTTCCATAAACTTGCCATGTGACCTTGGGTAACAATTTTACGCATTCTGCATAAATTTCTTCATCTGTAAAACAAGAGGCTGGCCCAGGTGACCTGGGAAGCCTCTGTCCAGCCTCTGCATTTGTGCCATTCTGAGCTGTAAATGAGGCTTGGATTTTCAGAGGGAGGTATCTGAATGGTATTGAATCTTCCCTCTTTAGTATTCTGGAGCCTGGGAACACTACCAGAAAAAGGAGAAAATGGTGCCATTCCAGTATTAATGGTTAGTCTGACAGATGGGATGATAATTTTGAGCCATATTAGTTTACGATTCTAGCATTTTAATTTGTATCAGGAACAGCTACTAAAATTTCTTCAAATGTCTTTTCAGCATTTATAGGGATGATCATTTGCTTTTTTTGTTTGTAGAATCTCTTCTTGTAAAGGCTTACATGGAAAGAATTCCTAATGTAAAAAACAAGGAAAAGTGTGCTTTAAGTAATAAGATGATGAAGAACATCACTGGGCTCTGGGCACAGTGAAAGCATACCAAGGACAGCAGGCAAAAAAATGCTCCTCCAACAAAAGATATCCGTGGCAAATTCCCTGGAACCTGGCAATGTTACATAATATGGTGGAAGATCTGATTATATTATGGATCTTGAGAGGAGAGGCTTATACTACAATATTCATATGAGCCCTAAATGCCACTGTCAGTGTCCTTTTAAGATAGAGGCAGAGGGAGATTCAACGCAGAAGAGGAGGCAATGGGACCCTGGAGGTAGAGGCTGCAGTGATGCGGCCACAGCCAAGGAATGTCCACAGCCACCAGAAGCTGCAGAAAGTAAGGAACAGATTCTCCTCTGGAGGAACTGCCAGAGGGAGTTTGGCCCTGCTGACACTTTGATTTTGAACTTCTGGACTCCAGAACTGTGAAAGAATAAGTTTCTGTTGTTTAAAGTCAGTGTCAGTAGTCTGTGGTAATTTGTTAAAGCAGCCCTTGGAACCTAATGTACTAAGGTACTTACATTTTTTAGTTCTGTTTTCTTAGTATTTTCTACTTTTATTATATTTTAACAAAAATATGGCTTATAAGAATTTTACTTTTTCAAATCATATTTGGAAAATAATACAGTGGAATTGATTTTTGTTTATATAATTACCCAACTACTTACATTCTTTCATATAGAGGGGTAATCCTCACCTCCAGGTCTTTTTATCCCAGCTGTTTCTTCTACTTGGAACTCTCCCTCATTTGCTCCCTCTTCCCAATTCATTTCTCTGACTGACTCTCCTGGCTTTTGGTGGCTCCGCCTCCTTCCATGCCTTGTGGCTCTCTGGTTTAACCCTTTTCCATCTTCACTATAATGGCTTAGGATGTGCCTGCTGTGTCCTCCATTGAACAACTTCTTCAGGGCAAGGACCATCTCACTCACTTCTCTATCACAGGTCTTGGCATATTCCTATGACTTACTGACCCATCAGCTGATTTCTACTGAGCACTGGCTATCCCAGGAACTGTGCATGGGCACACAGTGTGTGCTCAAGAAATGGTTGAAAAGCAAGGAATGAATGAAGTCATGCCATTTTTTAAAAATAAATAAATGATTGAAAAACACAAACGAATGAACAAAAATGTACATTTCCCTGGGTCTGTTTTCTGAAGTGAGGCTGCATGCAAATCATCACGTCAGGTACCAAAGGACGATACTCACACTACATCCCCCGCATAATGTCGGATTCGAAAGTCTCGATCAAACTCCAGAATTTTGTCTGAGGCACAGAGCTAAGAAATTAAAGACAGAGATTATTTTGAATAAGACATTTTAACTTCCTTAAAAACATATTCCAGCTTAATGTAAGATGATAATGTCACAAATCATGAAATCACACTGTGTGGGACTTGATTTAAATATACAGCTTATGTAGTAAAGACGGTGAACTTTCACTAGAAATCTGTACAGCTAGACTACATTTCCGGACCACTCTTGCAGGTGGATATGAGCAAGTAACACAGTTCTGCACAATGGAAGTGAAATGTGGCCAGTCCAGGCCCAAGCTGGTAAGTGGACAATCCCTCTTTGTACTTTCTTCCCTCCTCCCACTAGTTGGAGGCACAGGATAGTCCCTAGGGGATGGAAGAACCAGAGCTGGAAGAAGTGTGGGTCCCCGAGAAAGAAATAGACTTCTTCTATCTCATGACACTTAAATCTTGGCTGCTATCTTAGCGCAGCCCAGCGCTAAGATAGCAGTGCTGATGGACCACGTTTCTTTCTCCTCCAGGTTCCACTTCAGGAAGACCATAGTGAAGGCTTATTATCTGCTAGATATAAACATCTCATTCAATCCTCAGAACTGACGTTTAAGGTAAGTTTTACGATCTGTCTTTTATATACATGGCAACTGAGGTTCAAAGAGATTAAGTAATTGGCCCAAGATCACACAGCTAGTCAGTGGTAGTCCTGGGAAGGACTACTGGGACCTAACCAGTGTCTGTGCTCCTCCATGTACACAGTAGCTTGACCCATCTGTTTGCTGAGCTGGGAGTCCTGCTCAGATCTGCTCACTGCACAGAAGATCGACCTTCTGCAGCTCTTTCCTACTGAAAAGAACTATTTTCCAGAAAGGCAGTTTTCATATGGCCCTGGAAGTACCCATAACTTTCTACCTTCTTCCTTGTTACAGAAGCACCTGGACATCTTTTTCCTGTGAAGGATCACTTGGCATCCTACAGGCTCTTAAGCAGACAGACATCTAAGAATCCCTGAAGCACTGAATGCCGTTGCACAGAGAAACCTACTTAGTTGTTCTAATGTCAGATGACAAATAATTCCAAGCAGGATGGTGGGTTCTATACTGATAACCAGAATGCTAAAGGAATAATAAGTCTATTTATTTGACAAGTGAGTAATTACAGGAAATTTAAGTCTGATTTCTCAGGTTCAATCTGGGCTCTACTACTATCTATTCACACTGTCTCCTCAGAGTTGTTTTGAGGATTAAATGAACTATGGTGACCAAAGCATCTGCCATGCAGAGGTGTCTCCAACACACTTATTCCTCCCTCCTGCCTTCTCACTGACTCCTTTTACAAAGCCCTTTTATTTATGACCCCCACTAAAGGAAGAGGACCAAAGAGATGTCTATACCTATGGAATATTCTTACATTTCAATACTGCAAAGCCTTAACTGATGTGAACACAAAAGTTATGTATTTATCATTTAACTTTTTATGTTGCTAATATTTTAAATAATAACTTTACATTTTATTGGATTGTTTCCATGCCCTATGCTAACCTTGATGCCTAAGAGTTTAGCCCCCCAATAAAGTAATTGCTACAGGCCAGAAGCCTCTTATTGAATATGCCAATACATCTAGTGAATCAGTCACCAAAAGCAAATGATACATGGCTCAACATACAGGACAACGGCATTATTTAACAAAAAGATTCACAGTGATTAAAATATCCTGACAGTTGGCTGTTTCATTTCTTTCCTTCACTGGGCAAAAATCCCAGACAAGAACACACTTTAAAAATCCCCGTCTCAGTACTTGCCCCAGGGATGCCAAAAGAAAGAGCAAGCCACTTGGTCTCACAGTTGGGAAACATGGGCTCCCACGATTTAAAAATAGAAAAAACACCGTCTCCACAGATAAATTCCTGTTTAGCATTAGCATTTCCTATCAAATCCCTAGCTAAAGGTAGCATGTAGTTACTCTTAAGAATGAGATTATATTTCCAAACATTTGGTTGATACATTTTAATTCAGGCATATAAATGGCCAAGGTAAAGATATTAAAATGAGGTGGATTTGATTTCTCATATGAGACTCATCGCTATTCATTTAAATAAGATTCACTATTTAAATCAAGATTTAAATAAGATTTATTTGTATGATTGTGAGCAATTCAACTTTAAAAACACTGAATGAGTGTCCCCTACCTGGTAGGCATAATGCTAGGTGAGTCTCCAAAGCCTGAATTATGATTATGAAGGGTGCTTGTAAACTATCCCTCCATGGTAGGACATGTGCTTGTGTAATCATGCTAAATCTTTAAAAGCAGTGCTCTAAACTGTTCAGGTTGCTTCTGACTTTGCTCACCACTCTGTCCCCAGCACCTAGGATTGCACCTGGAAAATGACAGACCCTTACTAGGCATTGCGGTATAAATGGGAGTGACGAAAGGAAAACTCTCACCCAGAACCCCAAGATGAAAGATCAGACTGTAGCATCTGAGAGCCAACCTGCAGCAGGGTGACAAGTCAATCCTCAGTGACATATCATAGAGAATATTTTAGAAATAACTGGCCTAAAATAAACATCAGCCAGTAATCTATTTCTTGATGATTTGGGTGTTATCTAGTTAATTGCAGAATTTCCCAGTTCTGATTACATAATTTCAAAGAGGACAAAGTTAGAAAACAGATTTATTTATGCAAAAAAAAAAAAAAAGGCAGCGTGTCACAGATTTATATGAAATTACGGAGGAGCAGAAATGTTTGCCCTTTCTTTATGGATGTGAAGGAACAGGGGACCTGTTTTCCCTTCAGCTTATGGTTGCTACACAAGACTGTATTTGTAGGGAAGTCTGAGGGGTGATAATGATGTGTCCCTCTTTTAACACAGATTCCCTGAACAAATACTAATGGCAAATACACTACATGCAAGGTACAGCACAAAGATCTGATAACGACAGTTGCCACCAATTATTAACAGAAATGTGATCTGGCTTGTGACATTTTTAGATTGTGAAAAATGAGGAATTAAAAGAATATCTATTTAGTGAATGAGTTTCCGTGTAAGAACAAGAATTATAACTAGAATGTCTGTTTTCTAGAAAGTCACATAATCTACAGAACTATGGTTGAGCACAAACATTTTGCAACTAAGGATTACCGTAAAAAGTCAAGGACAAAAGCTATTTTCTGTGCCAGAATTATCAGATGCAGGAGTAAAATTCTAGCACACGAACAAGGACTCTGCACCTATTGGTTATAAATGACATCATGCTTTCTAAAGAACCATGTTCACTTTCCCTGTTTCTAGCAAACTGGATAGTCTGGAGCTCCCTCTCCTGGATGACACAATTTTATCAATCTTGTCAGACTAAAAACCAGAGGCAGAAGTTAATAAATCACTTAATGATTGTTTATGGCCTTCTTTTCTTCCACTCTTATTAAAAGAGTGGACACTCTTTTAACCCACATATAAAGACCTTTACATGTGTACAACAATGAGGAACATCGCACACATTAAAAGGAAAGGGAGGTATATTTAAACACAGTACCTTTCGGCTGGAAAAATGACCATGTTTGCCCAATTTACTGTTCAGTGCTTCAAGGAACATTTCATCGGTGACTTTGCCAACGTTCATGCAAGCGTCATCCAGGATGGCAATGATTCCTTTGTGCTGCTGCTCCACAAGGTCCACAATGATCTGATTGTTGAAGTAGTCAATCTGTGGGACACGGCAAGGAAGCAATTCCACAGAGAACAGTGAGTGGGACAGGTAACGTACCGATGTTTGCATTTGTACCAGGAGTTCAGGTAAAGAAAGCTGCCTTAATGTCAAGCACGTGAATAACATTAGTGAGGTCTTACACTGAAATGAGCACAAGGTTTTTTCTCAATTTGTTAATGTTATATCATGAAACATTTTGTCTGAAATGAGTGTAAGGTAAACATTTCTCCCAGTATTAGTTCTTGTTTTAATCCAGTCTCCGTATCCCACACTCAGCCCTATTCCTTCATACCAGTCTGCCCTTAATCAGAAGACCCACCTTCCATGAAGCACCAACAAATAACTTTAAAGTAGGTCATTAAACATGAACTGTCTTATTTCTAATCAAAAGTTTCATTTATTATATCTCAAACAAGCAGTACAATTAATCAAAGTATATGCCGAAACTATTAGCACAGTTTGCCATCTTGTGTATGCCAGCAGCGAAGAAGCCTAGAGAGCAATGGGCAATGAAATCAGGAAAGGTGTTTCCTGCAGCTTGTGGGAATTGAGTATTTTTCCTTCCATCAAGTGCTCTGAAGCCTGGAAAACGTAGTAGTCAGTTGGTGTGAAGTCTGGTGAATGTAGCAGATGACAAGAGTCTCCAAGTCTAGCTTCTACAGTTTGAGCAGCATTGTTTGTGTGAAATGTGGTTGAGCATTGTCCTGCAAGAGGATCGGCCTGTATCTATGGACCAGTCTTGGCTGTTTAACTGCAACATCCTCATCATGGTGTCCAAATGGCTGCAGTAGACATCCACTGTAATTGACTGACTAGGTTTCACGAAGCTGTAGTGGATAACACTAGCACTGGACTACCAGACACCATTAGCTTTTTTGGTCATTATTTGGTTTTGGACTGTTGTTTCAGCATCTCATCTTTATCCAACCATTGTGCTTAATACTTGTGACTGTTGAGGAGTCCATTTTTGGTCACATGTAACAATACGGTGAAGAAATGGTTTGCCTTTACGTCATGACAGCAAAGAAAGGCAAGCTTTGAGACAATTTCTCTTCTGACACTCGTTTAATTCATAAGGAACCCATCTATTCAGCTTCTCTATTTTGTCCATTTATTTCAAATGATCCAATATTGTTGGAATAGCAATGTCAAACCTTGCTGCTACTTCATGCATGGGTTGAGAAGGATTTATTTCCACTACAGCTTTTAGCCCATGGTTATCTACCTTGGTCTGAAGTTGCCCACATGGCTCATTTTCAAAATCAGCAGAAAGGAATTTCTCAAGCCATCAGTGTACTGTGCGTTGCCACATCCTTCCCAAATGCTTCACTGACATCTTGAGCTGTCTGCACTGCACTGGTTCTACAATGGAACTCAGATTCGAAAATAACACACATTTTTGATTGTACATGGATTCATAAAAACTGCTCAAAAAGAAAAAATCTGAAAGATAACCACAAGCCAAAATACACATTTGAAAGAATGAGGATGCACCTTCACAATGAACATAAAACAGGAAACATCAAAGGGAAACGTCAGAGATACCATCTGTCAAACTTAGTACTTAAGGAAATTGGACATTTCATACTGAATTACCTAATACTACTTTATAATAAAGTTAAGGTACATTCCTAGGTATTTTGTGCTCTTTGTAGCTATTGTGAATGGTATTTCTTTGATTTGATTCTCAGCTTGACTGTTATTGGTATATAGAAATGCTACTGATTTGTGTACATTGATTTCATATCCTGAGACTTTGCTGAATTTATTTATCAATTCCAAGAATTTCTTGGTGGAGTCTCTGGGGTTTTTCTAGATACAATATCATATCGTTAGCAAAAAGCAATGTTTGACCTCCTCTTTTCTGATTTGGTTGGCCTTTATTTCTTTCTCTCACCTGATTGTTCTGGCTAGGACTTCTGACACTATGTTCAATAGAAATGGTGACAGTGGCATCCTCATCGTTTTCAGTTCTTAGTGGGAATGCTTTCAACTTTCTCCTATGCAGTATGATGTTGGCTGCGGGTTTGTCAGTCACAGCTTTTATAATCTTCGGATATGTTCCTTCTATGCCCAGTTTGTGGAAGGTTTTTCACTATGAAAGAGGGCTAGATTTTGTTATAAGCCTTTTCTGTATCTATTTAGATGATCATATGGTCTTTGTTTTTGCTTCTGTTTATGTGGTGAATCACATTTACTGACTGACATAGACAACCATCCTTGCATCCCTGGGATGAAGCCCACTTGGTCATGGTGGATTATTCTTTTGAGGTGTTATAAAATTTGGCTTGGTAGCATTTTATTGAGGATTTTTTTGTGTCTATATTCATAAGGGATATTAGTCTGTAGTTTTTTTGTTGTATCCTTTCTTGACTTCGGTATCAAGGTGATGCTGACTTTGTAGAATGAGCTGGGGAGGATTTCTTCTTTCTCAATGTTATGGAATAATTTCTGAAGTGCAGGTACCATTTCTTTGTAGGTCCAGTAGAATTCAGCTGTGAATCCATTGCGGTCTAGGGTTTTTTGTTGTTGTTGTTGTTGGGAGACTTTATTACTGTTTCAATCTCACTGCTTGTTACTGGTCTGTTCAGGAGCCCTGCTTCTTCTTGTTTTGAGTTTTATAAAGTTGTGTATTTCCAGGAATTTGTCCATTTTATGACTAAGACTTCAATAGCAATTACAGCACCAAAAAAAATAAACAAATGGAACCTGATTAAAGGCTTCTTCACAGCTAAGGAAATAATCAACAGAGAAAACAGACAACCTACAGAATGGGAGAAAATATTTGCAACTTACACACCCAATAAAGGGTTAATAACCATCATCTATGAAGAACTTAGATCAGTATGGAAAAAACTTCATTAAAAATGCATAAAATAGGGCAGTGCCTGTGGCTCAAGGAGTAGGTGCTGGCCCCATATACTGGAGGTGGTGGGTTCAAACCTGACCCCGGCCAAAAAAAAAAAAAAAAACTAAAATTAAAAAAATGCATAAAATACATGAACAAAAGTTTTTCAAAAGAATATAGACAAATGGCCAAGAAACATATGAAAAAATGCTCAGTATCACTAATCACCAGGGAAATGCAAATTAAAAGCATAATGAAATATCATCTTATTCCTCTTAGAATGGCATTTATTAAAAAGTACAAAAACAATAGATGCTGGCGTGGATAGACAGAGATAAGAACCCTTATAACTGTTGGTGGGACTGCAAATTCATATAGCTTCTGTGCAAAACAGTATAGAGATTTCTTAAAGAACTAGAAGTAGACCTACCATTCAATTCAGCAATCCCACTGCTGGGTACCCAAAAGAAAAGAAGTAATTTCATCAAAAAGATACTTGCACAAGAATGTTCAGTGTAGCACAGTTCACAGTTGCTAAGATGTAGAATCAATCCAAGTGCTCATCAATTCATGAGTGAATTAATAAAAGGTGCTGTATGTATGCCATAGAGTATTACTCAGACATTTAAACAGATGAATTAATACCTTTTGAATAATAAGGAAGGAACTGGAGACCATTATCCTAACCAAAGTATCTCAAGAATGGAAAAAGCCCACCACTGCCTGATAAATGGGAACTAACCAATAGGCACACAAGCACACAGGTCAGTAAAAGTCACTAGAAATCGAGCAGGTTGGAGGGGAGAGGCAAAAACCCACCTAAAAGGTACAATGAACACTAGAATGGGCACAACTATAGCCTGAACTCAAACCATGTATCAAAAATATTTGTATTCTCTTAATATTTTGATATAAAATTAAAAAAAATTGTTAAGGTACTAACTTAAAAATAAAACTTGCATTTTTAGTTAAATGACCCTGCATGACTGAAATCTAAAACAATATCTCTTCTAGTTTTCCCAAAGTTAAAAAGTATGTGTGGCCCTAACACAGTTTTGACATTTTTCTGGGTATAACATAAAAAAAGGTAATTCTGAGATGTTAGGATCTACAAGAGAAAGAATAAACTTTATGTTGACTTTCATGATCTAAATGAAGTTAAAAGTAACTTTTTAGCAACTTCAATCTATATAACGTTTGTTTAAAAATCCTCTATCATGGGGCAGTGCCTGTGGCTCAGTGGGTTGGGTGCCGGCTCCATATACCAAGGGTGGTGGGTTCAAATCCAGCCCCAGCCAAACTGCAACAAAAAAATAGCCAGGCATTGTGGTGGGTGCCTGTAGTCCCAGCTACTCGGGAGGCTGAGGCAAGAGAATCGCCAAGAGCTGGAGGTTGCTGTGAGCTGTGATGTCATAGCACTCTACTGAGGATGATAAAGTGAGACTCTGTCTCTAAAAAAAAAAATTCTTTTTTCTCTATCACACCTATTTATTCTAATTGCCTGCAGTACAGCCATCACCATCAGCAGAGCACACACAGGCCCAACTCAGGCCAGCTGTATGTTACAAAGAGGGGTCAGCTTATCATCATGTATTTTAATCTTGTGTGTTGGTACGACCCAGCTTATGCCAAAGTTACCTGAGTAGAGCACTGCCTCTGTTCCTTTCTGTAAGGTTTATACACCCGTAACAGACCACTGAAGTGTCTCGTCTAGTCCTGCTCCAGCCTTTAAAATCCAAGGACTTATGCCAGTTCTGCCTGTGGCTTTCAGTGCCATGCCTCATCTAGCACTTTCCCTTCTGTATCCTGTGGATGGAAAGCCTACAAACTTGGGTGGCTTCTTTGTTATACTTTTCTGGTTTGTTTAAATTGGTGATTCTCAATTTGGAGTAATTTTGTCCACCAGAGGACACTTGGCAATCTCTGGAGATGCTTTTTAGTTGTCACAATGGGGGCGGGGGAGCTACTGGGCATTTGGTGGGTAGAGGCCAAGGACACTGCTAAACATCCTACCATCTGCAAAAGAGCCCCCACAACAAAATCCGGGCCAAAATTCCCACGGAACAGAGGTGAAGAAGCCCTGGTCTGAATATTTATTTTTATTTTGGGCATTTATTACATTTCTAAATAGGGAAGAGAGTTATTTCTGTCTTTGAGGAAAAAAATCCTAAAAATATTCAAAAAAACAGACTCTAAATCAATTAATAGCTGACAGCTTAGACTTTGGGACTATGGAGTTAAAGACTAAGTCTTTTGTGCCAGAGAGTAAAGAATTACCTTCCCTAAAATTGCAATTACATCACCAAAAGATTTGATGTTTGCTGAAGATTCCAGTAACTTTTAGTTTGGAAGTTCTCTGCTGCGAAGTGTTGAAAGCAGTGGTTTTTAAGGCAGGTTCTTTCAGCAATCTGTCCTACCTGGCATTCCCAGGAGGTTTCTTTCTTTTCTTTCTTCCTTTTCCCCTTTCCTTTCCTTACTTTTCTTTCTTTTCTTCCTTTTCCTCCCTCCCTTTCTTTCCTTCCTTTCTCTTTTCTTTTTCTCTCTTTTCCCACTCTCTCTGTTTTTAGAGACAGAGTCTCATTTTGTGACCCAGTCTGGAATGCAGTGGTGCAATCATAGCTCACTGTAACCTTGAATTCCTAGCCTTAAGCAATCCTATCACCTCAGCCTCCAGAGTATCTGGAACTACGGGAACTTGCCATCACACCTGGCTAGCTCAGGTTTCTTAAGCAATACAGGGAGCCAGGAGAGAAGTGACGGGGTAGCTTAGGGACATGTCCCTCTGACCTACTCCAAATACAATAGCCTTGTGCTTGAGTGTCAAGTTCTCAATAGTTACAGTGATTTGCAGAGCATCAAACACTTTTATAAGTGAATGAATCAGAGAGATAACTAGCCATTTAATAAAAGCATAACTACAATCTATGAAATAGAATGTGGGAAAAAAACTGATCCTGAATCCAGTCAAGACTCTAGTTCAATGATTTTTGATTGGTGTGCCATGTTGTGCCGAGAGAGGATCTTAGGTATGCTGCCCCAAATTTTAAAGATTGTTAATTAAATTATTTTCAAAAGAAGTTCAAAGCACAGTAAGTATATTCTTTATTTTACTTTTTTTTGATTAACATAATTTAAATGTGCCATGAAAGCTTAACTATAGGTTCAAGTGTGCTGTGAAATAAAAAAAGGCAGAAAAATACTGCTTTAGCTCTAACAACCTCCATGCAGAGCACACAGGAACAGAGAGAAACATACTTTACGACATCCCAGGAGTGCAATTAACAAAATTCAGACAGTGGGAAACCCCAAAGAACAAATGACTCATTATTTGCTTTTTAGAAATGTTCTTTTTATCATTTCTTTTTTTATTGTACTTTCTAAACTGTCTTGGGGAAGACTCATTCTTTTCAACAAAAGACTACAAAGAAACAGACAAAGAAAAAGACAGAGAAGAAAATCTCTACATATGTGAGAGACCTAATGACCAATCATAATCTGAGAATCTTATTTGAATCCAAATTCAAACAAACCGTATAAGAACAACTATTAGACAACAGGGGAAATATGAGATGAATGCACTGTCTGGATATTTGATGATATTAAGGAATTTTTGTTAATTTTTTAGGTGTGATAATGATATTGTGGTTATAGTTTTTATAAACATCTTCAACTTTTAGAGAAATACTCTGAAATATTTACAGATGGAATAATGTAACGTCTGAGATATGCTTCAAAATAATCTGTGGGCCAAGGAACAGGGTACAGATGCCACCGACTAACAATGTATTATTAAGTGTCAAAGATGGGCAATCTCTTCTTATACAGGGTGGCCATAAAATCCACATGACTTTATTTAAAATTGTCCCTAATACTTTTTTTTTTTTGAGACAGAGTTTCAGTATGTCACCCTCCATAGAGTGCTGTAACAATCACAGCTCACAGCACTCTACTAGGGCGACAGCTTAAGGCTCTGTCTCAAAAAAAAAAAAATCATTCTTTAGAAGTTTGGGATTATAAAAGGAAATACTCAGAATAGAGATTCTAATTTTGGGGGGAATCAGCATATAGTCAGTAACTGTTGTCTTGGGATTAGACTTCTGTTTCTACTAGGATGCATATTTCTTGGTTTATTTAGATAAATTTTTTTCCATTTTCAGATTGATTCTCAGATGTCTGAAATATGCTACTTCAAATGTTCCTTTCCAACTGCCAGTGAATTGGTAAAGGCTATTTTTGACCAGTACCTTGAAATTACATTTGAATAACAAGTGTTATGGTTGAATTTTCTATTAAAAAAAATCTAAGTTTCAGTTACACTGTGTATTATACAACAGACTCACTCTTAGAAAGCATTATATAAACTTAACTTTGAGTTGAATTACATTTTAAGCAGGCCCATGCCGGGTAAATTGAATTACATTTTAATTGTGCTGTGACAGTTGACTATTTAAAGCCAACTGTAGATAGCTCTACTATAAAGTAACTCTGGTTTATCTGTAAATACGTCAACTTAACGCTAATATACTTGAAAAAACATCTTTATTTATTTTTGAGGCAGAGTCTCCCTATGTTGCCTGAGACCTGCAAGTCTTTCTTGATAGGTCATTCATTATTTTGCATCACTGTCTCATCGCCAATCCACCCAAGTCCTGTTTATTTTACTTCTTAACTTTTTTTTTTTCTTTTTTTGAGACAAAGTCTCATTATGTTGCTCTCAGTAGAGTGCCACGGTGTCACAGCTCAAAGCAACCTCAAACTCTTGGGCTTAAGCCATTCTCTTGCCTCAGCCTCCCAAGTAGTTGGGACAACGGGCGCCCGCCACAGTGCCCGGCTATTGTTTTGGTTGCAGTTGTCATTGTTGCTTAGCTGGCTAGGTTTGAACCTGCCAGGTCTGCTATGTGGCTGGTGCCATAACCACTACTACGGGCACTGAGCCTGAAAAAAATTCTTAATGGCATCCTGATGTTCAACATTATGATAGAAGGCAAAGATGCAATTTGAGGCAGAAAAGCTATTATATCACTGTATCTTTTTTTTCTGAATGAAATGTGATAGAAACTAGGAAGGCAGGAAGGAATAAAAGTCATTGAAATAAACCGTTTCAAATAACTTTTTACTGCCATTATTAGATAGCAAAAAACAAATACTGACTATTTTTATTGCCTGGCAAGACAGTAGATACAGTTTTATAAACTCAAACTTACAATAACTCAAGAGTTTTTGCATTTTTCCACTCTATTCTCAAAATTGTTTAAAAATATAAAACTAAAAGAAAAATTCTTAGGTCTCATTCTTATTATAAGCAGGTCATCTAATTGTAGGCAATAAGAAAGCCAAACAAGTCACACCTTTTAGCTGTGATCTATGGTTTTTTTAAAACAGAGATCTGTGGTTTGTACCCGGACCCGTCATCCTTTCTGGCTGTATCTTAGACTAGTTTGCCTCTGACAAGTATGAAAGTTCACCCAGAGCCAAGAGAAGAGAAATGATGACTGAAGTGATATAAAGGAAAGTAAACGGAGATGAAAGGTAGAACAGGTGTTTTAATGCCTGGGTTTCAGACAATAAATATGAAGAATATTACCTGAAGACAATAAAATGCCATTTAGTTGCAAAGCAGAGGAGGAAGAAGAAAAGAAAGAAAGAAGGAAGAAGAAGAAACTAGATTCAGAAGTAAAGTTCAGCCAATTTAAGGCGAAACTTAATAACTTATAAATGACATTAAACTCTAATTGACAGATAAGAGCCAGAAAGTCCATGCAGTATTAGTCACAAAGTGAAAAATGTTAGGTTCACTATAACTCAGGATTTTGGGGGCATCAACATGGGAGTCCATCAAATTAGAGAAATCACCCCTAACAATCCTGAAAATTAATTGTATTTACATATCCCCAAAATGAAAGCTAAGGTTTAGATGTTTCAAGCATCCAGGGACCTGACATTCATGATGATACGGAAGACCCGTGTAGACACTTTTCATGAGTCCACTCACGTGTTTCCAAGGGATCCCTTCGCGCTGGTATTCCTCCTGTTCTTGTTTCAGAACCAGCTGGATAAATAGCTGCTGCAGTTTCTCATTGCAGTAATTAATACAGAATTGTTCAAAGCTACAGGAAGAGGAATGAATTATGTTTAAACAAATAAAAAATAAGGAACCGTTTTAAGCATCTTATCCAATTTACCTGTTGTTGTCAAAGATTTCAAAGCCATAGATATCCAAGACACCAATAACAGTGTTTTTCCCGTGGATTGTTGTGTCATAGTTCTTGATGTCGATAATGTCATTGATGCGAGTGACAATCCAACAGAAAAGGCGCTCATATATGGCCTGGGAGGAAAACAACACGTAAATTCCTGCCCACTGCGAGTCTTCGGCCTAGATTTGTAGAAGTTTTAAATTCCTGTCCACTTTTCCTTACTATTAGCCTACTTGTTATAAGCTTAAGCAGAACAATTAGAAATGCAGTTCATCTGTTAAAGGAAAAAAAAACAAACTACCTGATATATGAAAAGCTAAAGTAGGTGGTTTGGATTTTTCAAAGATTATTACTGTCACTACATGAATTTCAACAACATTCCCCAAACATGTGTCTGTGCCTAGCTATATCAGTAATCTGCCTACTCCCTCGATGAAATCACAGTTAATTTCATCAACAATGAAAATTTTGGATCTACGAAAAAAATTTTGGAACTAATGAGTTAGTATCTATGACCCACTAAAGCTCTACGAATTCTGAAAGTGTAAATATTGCTTTCTAATGCTAAATAAAGATCTGAGACAAAAGGCTAAGGTTCGAAATTTCTTGGAAACCAAACACACATCCAATGCACAGGATATATATACACCAAGTCACACATGGACAAAGGCGCCACACGCTAACACACAGTCACATCTCCACACACACGCTCTGCAGAATCACACCTTTGGAAAATCCTCCCTTAACATCTCCTGCCAGCTACCTACTGTCTCCCAAACTCACTGCCTTCAGTCTTCACTTCCCCTTTACTCCCTGATCCACTCCAGTCTTTGCTTACATCACATTCCTCCACTGAAATGGAACATCGAGACCCCCAGCACCTCTACATAGACACTCCCTGGCACCTCTGTATGAACCTCTTACTCCATTTCTCAGCACCCCTCCATTGGGCTTCCCACACTCTTGGAACATTCCCCTCTCTGGAATTCATGATATCGTGCTTCCTTAATATTACTCTTGTTTCTCTGGCTGCTCCTTCTTGGTGACCTTTGGTACTGTCTCCTCCTTTATGTGACCTCCAAAGTTCTTCTCTCCACTCTCTCACACCAAGTCTTCTCACCCAGGATTAAATAATACTTCTATGACTCCTAAATGTACCACCCAACTCAGACCCAGGACCCAGAGCTCCTGACTCACACAGTAGGGTACCTGTCCAACTGACAGCAACTCTTAGACGCCGCACAGCACTTTAGACTTATGTCTGCCAGGACTCTTCATCTTTCCACTGCTGCAAACTCTTCCTGCCCTAGTTTTAGCCATGAATAAATGGAGCTAGACAATTAGGAATTCACTCATTCATTTGGCACAGTCATTAATTACCTCATTCGTTTGACAAGTATTTGCTGGGAATCCATCCATTCATTCATTCAACAAACCTTGTTGAGTATTTCCTATGTATAGTTTGTTGGAGATACAGTACTAAGGAAGCACAGGCTGAGACTTGGTGTCAGTCTCCCAGGAGCTCTAGAGAGCACAGTGAAGGACAAATCATTATACCCATCTATGAGTACATGTGCACAAAAGGAGAGATGCACACGTGCTCGGGGGAATTTATCCTAGTGGGTGTTCAGGGAGGCCAAGGAAGGCTTCTCTGATCAAGTGATGCGTGGGCCTGGAATAGAAGAATGAGCAAGAAAGAGGAAACCAGGCAAGAGGGGAAAGAAGAGCAATGGAAGCAGAGGAGACAGCGAGTGCAGAGACCCTGTAGCTGGAAGAAGGGGATAAGGACGACTTGTGAGGCCTGAGAGAAGACTGAGGTACTGGGATGGAGAAAGGAAGCTAGAATGTGGTATGAAATGAAGCAGGAGAGGCAGGCTGGAGCTGCCACATCAAGGTGGTACCCTTGATTCCCTCACTCCCCATACAACGGTTCCTATGGACTTTTATATCTTCAACATAGCCCATCTCAAATTCTTCTCCTCTCCCATTTCCATTGCTACCTTCCTAGTCCGAGCTGCTATCATCTCTCCTGGGTTAATATAATATCCCCTTAACTAGTCTCTTAGCTTTTATTCTTTCTCTACCCCCAATAAGATTCTCCATACTAAGGCCACAGCGATCATTTAAAAATTCAAACTTGATGTCGTTGCCCCTCCTCACAATCCAATAGTTGTCCATTGCACTTAGTAGGATAAATTCCAACTCCTTCTAAGACAAAAACCAAGCTTGAGACTCATAAAAAGCAAAAAAAAAAAAAATGGAATAGACAATAATCTGATCAACTAGCAAAACCCTAACAACAAACAGTTAGACTTTAGAAAATACAACCCTTGCCACACTGATAAAACATAAAAGGTTAAAGTTTCTGATCTATGGACTCATATGAAGGACAAGCTGACAATGAAAAGATAACAGCCCCAAAGAAAAACATACAAAAGATATACCCAGGCAATTGTTAGAACACACAGGAGAACCTCCACAGTTAACCACCTGTTAAGTTGACCTACTTTTCATAGACTGGACATGCAGCCCATGTATGTGTCAGTACAGCAGGCCTAGATCCTTCTGTTGTCTACCTCCGTATGTTTGCCAGTTTCTTACAGTCCCTTGGGTGTTCAACTTAGAGAGGCTCTACTGTGTTTAAATACTCTACAAAAGTATAGAAAGATGCTCAAATATACTAATAATGAAAATTAAAGTAAAAATGGGATATAACTCATTGAGATATAAGCCGTCATAAAATTAGTAAGTTTGAAGTTTAAAGTCAGCACACCCTTTGACCTGGCAGGCTCACTACTGGGAAAAAGAATACTATATGGACAAAGATTTGTACCTGGTCTCTGCTGGCAAAAAAGAGAAACACAGTCAATGACTTAGCAGGAAAATGGCTAAATAAACCGTGGCACTAGCACCATAGACTTGGTACATAGAACATAGATGGTGTCCTAAGTGAGAAAAGCCAGGAACCAAAAGATAAACACTGCATGATCTCACTTATATGTGGAAACTAAAAAGCCAAACTATGGAAGTGGAGGGTAGAACAGTGGTTACCAGAACCTGGAGGGAGGGTGGGAAGAGGATGGGGAAAGGGGCAAAATCTGTCAGAGGGTACTGACAGGAGGTCAGTAAGTTCCAGTAAGCCATCACACAGTGCAGTGACTACTGTTAATAACAATCATGTTTCAAAACTGCTCAAAGAGTGGATTTTAAACGTTCTCACCATAAAGAAGTAAATATGTAAGGTAAATATGTGAATTAGCCTGATTTGATTATACATGACAATGATTACATGTGTCAAAACATCACATTGTACCCCATGAATATTTAAAATTATTATTTGTCAACGAAAACAAAAAAAGAAAGGATTGGAGTTCAGTAGGCCCAAAGGGGACTCCTGTGAAGCACTGCTGAGTGAGAGAAGCAATGTGGAAGGTCGCGCAAGGGTTCCAAGCCTGCCAGGGGGCCTGGAAAGGAAGCCTCGTTAGCTCCACGGGCAGCTGGCTTCTGCTCTTCCCAGAACCTTTTCCAGCTGTGATGCTTACATGAGAAGCTTTTATTGAGACTGCAACGGCCAGAATGCATCATTATGGTTTCTAAAAGCCTTAACTTACTTTCAATGAATATTTGAATACATCCTAGCAGGACTTCATTCAAACTGCAACTGAGATCAACAGCAGGTCGGCCAGACAGGCTGACAGAAGCGGAGTGAAAATCTCACCTTGGCGAAGGCGTCCCTGCCGTAGCTTGCTTCCTGTTCCGTATGCTGCTTGTCGATGATATCACGGCCTGTGGCCACCGTCCGGTAAAGAAGGGCTTTCTCAACCATGTCCGTCTTAGTAGAGAGCAATTCTGCTATGACAGACACAACCTTGCTGTTCTCAATAAGAGGTGTGTCACCATCTACCACAAATTTTAAATTTCCCTATATCAAAAATGAAAAAACAAGACAGAGATCCTAAAATATTGTATTATGGATATATTTGTCAGTTTAAAACATAATTCAAGTGACCTTGTTTGTATCTATTTTCCTAAATACATTACATATCTCAACATATAAAAACCTAGTGCGTCATCTTTTTTTTCCAGACACTCATCTATTTTTTCATTTTCAGTGTAAGTTTTTGATAGAAGCTTTACATTTGCATGTAGTCATGTCAGTGAATCTTTTGTCTTAGGGTTTTTCTCTTTTCTTGGTGTCAGACCATTCCTCCTCTGCGGTTTTATGAGTATTTGATATATTCTAACATTTTTATACTTTTCCTCCTAACATTTAAATGAGGGGTCCTCAAACTACAGCCCGCGGGCGACGCTGAGGACATTTATCTGGCCCGCCAGGTGTTTTTGCCGCTGCTGTCTGTTCTGCTTAGCAGCCGACTCGTCCCAGGTCTGCAGTCCAGCCCTCCAATGGTCTGAGGGACAGTGAACTGGCCCCCTGTTTAAAAAGTCTGAGGACCCCTGATAAACTTTTAATTCATCTAGAATTTATTTTGGATGAGATGTAAAGGAAGAATTTAACTTTATTTTTTCAGACGCTTTGTTGCTTCAACATCATTTATTGAATTGTCTAGCTTTTTCTCCTGATTTGAAATGTCACCGTTTTTATGTATTAAATTTCCTTAAGCGTGTGAGTCTATTTGCATCTGCTCATTCAATAAGCAATAAATCCTTATTAACTGTCTACCCAGCAACCAGCACGTCAACTAGTCTACTGATTAACAAGTTATTCTGGTGCTGTATGTGTACCACATGTTTTATGCTATTTTAAATTTGGTAGAATTAGTCATGGTCTCCTCCCTTCACCCTGCCCTACTGCTCTACTACTCTTATTCAATACATTTTATGTGGTCTTCTTACAGGTTTTGCTGAAGGTAAATTCTAGAATCATGAGGTCAAGTTGAAAACAAAATAAAATTCTTATTTGGATTCTGAGAGGGACTGTTGCACTGTATTTATAAACTAATCCAAAGAGATGAGATAATTAGTAAGAAAGTCTTCCTAGTCAAGAACACTAATTTATCATTTATATTGTCATGTAATTTTTTTTTTTTGCAGTTTTTGGCCGGGGCTGGGTTTGAACCCGCCACCTCTGGCATATGGGGCTAGCACCCTACTCTTTTGCGTCACAGGCACTGCCCTAATATTTTCCATACAATCCTACACATTTCTGACTTATTTAGAGGTTAATCTTGCTGCCCTAAAGTGAAAGGTAATTTTTATTCCAGATCTGAATCCATGTTGTCTCTCCTATATTGTAAGGTTACATGTTCATTACATTTTAAAGTTCTCTAATTGTACACATGGTAATAAAAGCAGTTCAGCACACAGGTCTTCCTTTCTGCCTTTGGTGTGGGACAGCAGAAGACACCTGGGCCAGGAGTCTGCTGAACTGGTCTAGAGTGCTGGCTCCTGATGAGCTGGCTACGCCTTTGAGGCAGTCATGCAAACCCCTTATAGCCATTTCCCAACCTGTAAAATGAGATGATCAAAATTCCAGTTTTAATAATCTACGATTGTTTGTCTTGATGCTATTAGAAATTTATACTATTATTAGACACATTATTGCTGAATTCTATTATCTTTCCATTAAGCAGTTCAAAGGTTGACAATACCAGTAAAACAAGAAACTGAAGACATAGTCTCAACCCACAGTGACTTGGAACATTTCTCATATTATTAAAAAATGAGGGAGAGAACCCACACAATAATTTATTTAAAACATGAACAATATTTTATCTAAATATATTACTTTTTAAACCTTCACAGAAAATAACAAAATCCTCTAAAAGAACATCCTGTCTCCACAGCAAGAGGATACGTTCTGGGAGGCGTCCCTACTCACCAAGTGAAGAATAGTAGCCAAAATTTTATACACTGTTTGAATCTCCTCAGGTTTGAAGCCAATGACTTTCATGGCATCAGCTACTACTTTGAATTCTGCAGCATCATTGATTGAAGACTAGGGGTGAAAATGGAAAACTTAAGTCACAGACATTTCATGCAAGCATCAAAATCCAACAGTTAGGACATTAAATTCAAGTTCAGCCAAGTTTTTGATGGCTTTGTAGTAATCCACTTGAGAGGATGATGAGTATCCAGAGAAAACAAAAATGATTTCAGGAATCGAAACATCACTGAGTATATACATAGCCCACATGTGCGTGAAAGCCATCACCCAAAAGAAGCATTGTGCCCTTTTCCAGAACTTCCGGTGAGGGAGCAAGTCCTGAGTTGGATCAAAGAAGCCAGTTACCACTCCGTGATCAGGGGAGGCAGCAGTGCGGGATGTGAGATGACAAATGGAAATGCTGAACGTGAGAGCCTCCAGATACACACTGGGCTATCGCCGTTTGTGGCTCTTTGTTCTACAGTCTGTCTTGTACAGTCTGACAACAACACTCCTACTCTTGTATAACCAGATGTTTTATTTCCCAGGTGAGAAAAACTAAGTTTCCAAAAGCAAAGCAGCCACCATTGGCTCTTTCAGCTATTAAATAGTCTGGGACTATTCAGTAAACATTTGGTAAGTCGAATCTTATAACGGGTACAGGATGTTAAAAGATCAATTACCTGCCTTTAAGGAGCTGTGGCCGTCACTTTGGAAATACAAGTGTGTATAAATTCACAACAAAGCAATGGTAACTGCTTATATTAGTTCTCCCAAAGCAGCAGCTACAGAGGGCCTGACTACTCCTTTTGTCAGTGAGTTCCTCCTCTTGTCTGGACACAGAGACCTGGCCCGATGCTCCCCTCCTGAAGAAGGGCTCAGGAGGGGGACTCTCTGCCTTGTGATAACATGTTCCTCAAGGGTATAGGAGACAACCAGGTGAGCTCCTCTTCCACCCAGCAGGGTTTTATAAAGTTTTTTTCCTTTGTTTTGTTTTTGCCTTGGCAAGATATTTAATCTTTTTCAGCTTCAATTTCCTCATGGATAAAGTGGGCATAATAATATATTTCTTATAGGGCAGTTATGAGAATTGAATGAGGATTTATATAAAGTATATCCCTAGTTCTTAGTACATTAAAAAACACTCACGAAATATCAGGTATTACTGTTATAAACTGCCACTACTGCTATGCATGGTGGCTCACCCCCTGTAATCCTAGCACTCTGGGAGGCCTAGGTGGGAGGATCTATTGAGCTCAAGAGTTCTAGACCACCCTGAAGAAGAACAACACCCTGACACCACCAAAAATAGGTTTGAGGTTGCAGTGAACTAGGCTGATACCACCTCACTATACACTCAGGGCAACAGACTGAGACTCTGTCTTAAAATAAACAAATAAACAAACTGCAACCATGTTGCAATTGCGAATTAACAAAATGTCTCAGTGTTCCACTGTGGGAAACTGCTGACTGCTTACCTAACAGCCATCCCCAGTCCCTACTGCATTTCTTTCTTGCTGACAGAACCCTGACTTGTTTACTCCTCTCCAAGTGTGCATGACCTCCATCTAGCCCCAAGAAGTAAATCTCCTTCTTTTTTTTTTTTTTTTTTTCCAGTTTTTGGCCAGGGCCGGGTTTGAACCCACCACCTCCGGTATATGGGGCCAGTGCCCTACTCCTTTGAGCCACAGGCGCTGCCCAAGAGGTAAATCTTCATTAATCATGTTGGTCTTATTACCCTTTCCAAGTGAGCAGTTAGCCATAGGTATGGGATACCATTCTAATCAGTAATAACCCTGAGGGAAAGTGTAGGGAATGGTTGAAGGGAGGGTCCCGGGGGCATTCCCTAGCATATGAAGGGACATAAGCCATGAGCATTTCCACTGCTTGTGACTCCTGGAAGTGCTGATGCCATTTTAAGACCACGAGGAAAACCAGCCTGAAAGGACAAGACCATCCACTCGGTATGGCTATGCTGAGGAAATAAACAACAAAAAGCCTAGGTCCCTAAGAACATTGTTAAGGCAATTCTGGAACTGGGGTTTCTCTGAGTTTCTTGTTATGTGAGATAATTAAATTCCCTATTGTTTTTGGAGACTTTTGATCTGGTCTTCTCTTAATCGTAACCCAAAATATCTTAATTGTATATGATTTCTACATTTTAAAAGTGGTTAAGATAGATACAATACAGTATTTTATAGCTATAAAATTATAGCTATGTTTAAAATTATAACATTAGTTTATATTTGTTACTTGGGATATTAATGATTAGATTGTAATATGAGAAAAGTAGGTTTATTTAATTAGGATTTACTGTATGATTTCAATTATAGACACAAACCATTATCAGTAATCAAGATATAGTGCATTTTTGCTTCATTTGGGTTCATCTTTATTTTGGATTTTGACTAGGATCATACTGAATCAACAACCTTGCTTAACAACCCATTACTATATCCTATCACCATCTGATAGGAAAGAACGAAAGAACTTCTTTTCCATGTTCAATGTTTTCTTTTAATTTTTAATCCTATTCCTTCTCTTTTATAGTTTCTTTTATTTCTCTCCCAACTACAAAAGCAATGCATTTTTTTATTACAGAAACATCTTTAAATATGGAAAAGCAGAACACAAATATCCATAATCTCACCCATCCAGAAAACACAATTGACATTGTGATCTGTATCCCACCATAGCTTATTCTACGCATTTTTATGCTTTCCCTACTTGTTTACAACCTACCATCGACATAATATTATATTACTAGAATTATAAAATGACTAGCAGAAAGCTAACCAGAAATAAAAAAGAAAAAATGTGCCTGCATATGTGTGGGCAAGTGCTTGTATGCAAGGCAAAGGGAAAAAAAAAGGGAAGTCTTGAAAGGCTGAATAGAAACGCCTCAAGGGTCACAAAACTATTTCTAGGATACAGCAAAACTAATACTTGAAAAACAAAAAAAAAAGCAGTGAATGCAGAATCAAAGTGCTTTTTATTTTATTTTGTCTACTAACTTGCCTTTGGCCGAATCATAAGAAATCTACTTGGGAGATAGACATCCTAGTCCTATCAACATTTTTATAGTGTCAAAATAAAAGGAATAGGAACAGGATTAAGATTAGAAAAAATATTGAACGTAGAAAAAAAATTTCCTTCCTGTTAGGTGGTGATAAAATACAGCAATGGGCTGTTAAGCAGGGTTGTTGATTCAATAACATATTGACTCTCTCTATCCCTGAGGGTTTAAAAAATAGAACAGAAGAAACATTCATTTGCTTGAAGGCATCAATCTTGACCAGGTATTTATTTTATGTCCCTTCTGGTTCTGATTGCACATCTGAGCAATCTGAAAGAGGAAATCCTCACCTTTAATTGAGCTCCCACACGGATGTAGTTGTAGGATGAAAGTGATTTCTGTAGATGCAGAGAACGCAGTATCTGCTCTGAACCGCCTTGGAGTAGCTGAAAAGTATTTAATTAGAAATAAATTGGCAAAATATACATGGAACCAAATATTCTAACTTAGTACTATCTAAGTTTTTTATTTATTTATTTTATTTATTTATTTTTATTTATTTATGTATTTATTTATTTTTATTCATTTTTCTGGGCTTAATTTAGTTAGGTCTTGCCGTTTCTAGCTTTGACGAATTTTTTTTTTTCACCTTGAAAGTAAGTGGCTCAGTTTCATCAGTTATGGAGAATTCTATGTAGTCATGAAGATAATTACTTTAAAAGTCTCATCTCATTCATAAGATAATTGGTATAAAAAGCTCGAGCACTGATTATGGTCATTTGTAAAACAGGATCCTCTGTTGCTGTGGTCACTTGCCCAGGAGGCTCATATAGGCAGGACACGGTTGTTTCAGAATTTAGAAAAAGTCAATATTGCCATGGCAGTGAGAGGCATCAGCAGACAGTCAATGCTGACTCACCAGGAAACAGCTCTTCCTCACCAATCTGTATACCTCAGGAAAGAAGGGCCATTGGATAACTAGGACTGTAGTGCTGAATAAAGACAATTTTAATACTTTCATCCAAGTGAGAAAAACACTGGGAAAAACTGGGTTCTTGGAACAAACAGAACTCTTTTATATTTGGCAGAAAAACAGTTTATTTAAAACATGGCAAACTGCTAACAAAACACAAATACAATATTGACAGCCCATTTATATAGGGCACGTCTTTGGAAGGCATTTAAAAAAATTCTCTATATTAAATTGTTTCTATTTACTTAACAGGTATAATTATCAGATTTTTAAACTAAAGATATCAAAACTTATATATACAAATAAGTAATATCTATTAAAGCAGTTACCTTGCAGACACTAAACTTGATTAAATTGTATTCAATTGTACTGTCACCTTCACAGTTTACACATGGAAGTCAACATCATTAATTTACAGTTTTACTTCTTAAAAATCCAAAGCAATATAGCTTAAATTGATCACCTTTGTTATTATTAGCCTTGGTTTATATTATTTTGGGCTTTAAAAAATGAAAATAATGTATACAACTTGTTCCCTAGGTGTAAAGACTTGTCAACAAAAGGGCTATTTAAAAGATTTTGCTCAAATTAATCAACAACAACAAAAAACCCAACAAACCCATATATCACTGGGCAAGAGACATGAACAGAACCTTCTCTAAAGAGGATAGGAGAATGGCTAACAAACATATACAAAAATGCTCATCATCCCTAATCATCAGAGAAAAGCAAATCAAAACTACCCTGAGATATTACCTAATTCCAGTGAGAATGATCCACATCACAAAGTCTCAAAGCTACAGATGCCAGCTTGGATGTGGAGAGAAGGGAATACTTTTATACTGCTGGTGGGACTGCAAACTAATACAACCTTTTTAGAAGGAAGTATGGAGAGTTCTCGAAGAACTCAAATTAGACCTCACATTTGATCCTATAATCCCATTACTGGGCATCTACCCAGAAGAAAAAAAAAAACCCTTTTATCATAAGGACATTTTCACTAGACTGTTTACTGCAGTGTAATTTACAATCACCAAAATGTGAAAATAGCCTAAATGCCCACCAACCAGGAATGGATTAAAAAGCTGTGGTATATGTATACCATGGAATACTATTAAGCCACTAAAAAAGGTGGAGACATTACATCTTTTGTATTAGCCTGGATGGGGGAGGAACACATTTTTCTTAGTAAAGCATCACAAGAATGGAGACACAAGAATCCAATGTACTCAATTCTGATATGAAGGCAGTAGATGAGCTAATACAAGGGGATGGTAGGGGAATGAGGGAGCGGGGAGAGGGGAGGAAGGAGGGGGTGAGTGGGTCACAGTGTATGGCACACCTCTTAGGAGTGGGACACAATTACAAGAGGGACTCTAACAAATGCAATCAGTGTAACCTAATTCTTCGCACCCTCAATGAATCCCAAACAATAAAAAAAAAAAAAAATTCATAAAGACACTGAAAACAAAACAAAGATTTTGCTTTAAAAAAGCACTCCCAAAAGGGGTATTCAAATTTTATTCTAAACTTTGATGGGATAAAAAAGACAATTCTCCTTTGAATTTTTAAATCCTGGTTGTTTTTGAAACGTAATCATGTCTTTATAGTCTCTACAAGCAAAATACTCCCATCTCTATAACTCTCAAATTGTGGGGGGAGGGAGGGAACTTCAATTCAAAATAAAACACAATTAATTTAACATATTTAGACTGTACAACTTCAAAAGTTTCACAGTAATTAAACTGTCGTCCACGTCTCAGAGAAATGCGGGTGACTCTCATACAAGGCAGTCATCTGCTCAGCTAGCCACCTGCTAGCTCTGTGTAACAGTCACGCTTTGTTCAGTCTCTTAAGAAGAATACGTGATGTGTTGTGGCCAATGGAGACGTGTGAGGCACAGAACAGGGGAGAACTCAAGATACAAAAATTCATTTCTTATACAACTGAAGCCAATGATCAATTGTCTGCATAAAAGGAGGTCACTAACCTGATAGAAAGAATGAAAGCTTCTTTCTCCTGGCTGCTGCACAATCACTCGAGACTAAGAAAAAACACATTAAAATGGTTAACCTGAAAATGTGTCCCTAAAATAAAATGGAAGCCCCTTTTTCAGGGAATTCTGTAATCATGGTACATGTAAGTATCCAAATGACCATGTGGACAGTACTCACCTAAGACTAAGTTTTCTCTATGGGGTTTACTGTGCAACTTTTTGATAAGTCTTTTTACTGCTTAAAACAGAGGTCCCTAAACTTTCTGAAGAATGAAACAACTTTGATTTTTTTTGTAATCTTGAGGTTAAAGATGGAATTTGGTGGGAAGTAAAGATCAGAAGTGAGGAGAAGAGGAAGGAATGCTTAGGGAGGACTATTCTCAACGTTTCCTTCCCCAGGGTCTGTTGGCATTTCCAAGAGCAATGCCTTATATCTGTAATAAAATCAGTTGATTATCCATAGGGACCTTGACCTTAGATGGCTCTAGAGCAGTAGTTCTCAACCCTCCTAATGCCGCTGGCCCTTTAATACAGTTCCCAGGAATTGTGGGTTGAGAACCGCTGCTCTAGAGAGACTGATGTGAGGAGAGGGCTCAAAATGCTGTTCATTCAAAAGGATCCATTTGATTATGTACATAAAAGTGAAACCATCTGGAAAAAAATAATAATTTCCTGACAATTTTCAACTGACTCTGATAAAATACTTATTTCCTTAACATACTGATTTCAATATAAAAAACAAACAAACAAAAAGATTAGACTGTGCTATACTGCCATAAAGGATGCTAAGGCATAATTGGGATGGGAAACCCTTAACTGAGAAAGTATATCAGCTTAGACATGAGTACAATTCAAGGTGAATACTTAACTTTGTAAAGCACAAGCTTAACTGTAACGACCAGGTGGATGAACTCTATGTGGTCTTTTGCAGGCACGTCCAGTGATAGTCCATATGAGTTAGGACACAACCTCCCTGGCCAAGAGGAAAGTTCTAATCTGGGAGGCAGAGGTGGAGGCAGGTAGATCACCTAAAACTCAGGAGTTTAAGACCAAACCTGAGTAAGAGTGAGACCTATCTCTACTAAAAATAGAAAAATTAGCCAGGTACTGTGGACCTCTGTTGTCCCAGCTACTCAGGAGGCTGAGGCAGGAGGACTGCTTGAAGCCAGAACTTTGAGGTTGCTATCAGCTAGGCTGATGGCCATGGCACTCTTGCCTAGAGCAACAGAGTGAGGTTCAGTTACAAATGAAATGCAATAAAATAAAATAAAATAAAAACACACTACTATATAAGGCAGTGAACAAACAAACTAGAGGAAAATAAAGTATCAAATTAATTAAAATTAAAAGATAACAAAAATGGTGATGTATAAAAAGACAAGAAGTGATTAGTCCCAGATTAGTTTTTGGTTAAACCTTACCCAGCAGTTGACACACACTCATACCAGCACCCCCCATATATATATGTACACACTTAAATCTGTATCTACATGTCTGTATCTACCCAGCAGTTGACACACACTCACACCGGCAACCCCCATATATGTATATACACATTTCAATCTGTATCTACAAGTGTAACTTTTCCCACCTGGATCTTATAGAAATGCTACTGAGAGAACACAAAAGGAAAATATCTTAGCATAGAAAGCTAATCAAGGAGGGAGGATAGGAATAAAAGCTACTTTGAAGCAATAAAAAAAATCTATAGATATAATTGTTTTAAACATTCAGCACTTACAAACATTACCCTCAGAAATTAAGCGCATTTTACCTTCTCCAGTAAGTAGTTATTGATGTGTCCACCAATAGGGTCCCCCTTGAAATCAAAGTTGATATCCATGTATTTCCCGAACCTGCTTGAGTTGTCATTGCGGTTGGTTTTGGCATTTCCAAAAGCTTCCAAAACACAGTTGGACTTAAGCAACATATTTGTTACTCTTTCAACACAGAGAAATGAAAGCATTAGTAAGAGTTTTAGCAAGTAGGACTTTTTAAAAAAATTTGTTTCAGGTTTGTGGAGAGTACAAAGAATTAGGTTACAGTGTTTGCATTTGTGGTAAAGCCCTTCTTATAATTGTGTCCCACCCTCCAGGACGTGAGACTAGGACTTTTAGAAAACTGGAGTTTGCTACAACATATGCCAACATTTACACAAACATGCTGTCTGCAGCACCTTCTGCAGTATCAACAAAATACCAACACCAATAGGGATAGATAAAAATAGGTTTTTATTTCCCAATATAATGAAACGTTATGTAGATGCTCAAAAGAATGAGGCACATCTTTATGTCCTGACGTGGAAAGATGTCTATATATTACTGAGCATAAAGTCAAGTTCCAAAATAACACACAATGGAGGATCCTAGCATGGGTGTGTGAGTGCACACTTGTGTGTGTGTGTATGGATACATGTGTTAACAAATACTTAAAAATCCAGATAGAAAGCCAGGCACAGTGGCACATGTCTGTAATTCCAGCTACTCACTGGTGTGTCGGGGGAAGGGGCAGTGGTGAAGCTAGAGAATCACTTGAGCGTTCGAGATTACAGTGAGCTATGACCATGCCTCTGTGTTCCATCCTAGGTGACAGAGTAAGACCTTGTCTCTTAAAAAACAAAAGTATGTGTGGAAGGGAGAGAACTGCTTGCAGTAAGACACACTTGTAAAAGACAAGTAAATTCATATATGCCTTACTCTTCTCTACTAGAAACATAATTTACTTTTCAGGTATTTACTCTCCCGAGCTCCTAAGGAAATTAAGACAACTTACTCATACCTTTACCAAGTTAGATCACAAAGTCAGAATCAGAAGCAGGAATAGTTATAATTGAGAAAAATGCCTCTGCTGACCTCACAATCCAGCCCGATTATGATGAAAACAGCCAACATAGAGTAGGTGAATCTAAATTCTCTTCATTCCCATCAACCCAGCATCCTTTCTCCCTTTTTATAAAACTGAAGGTTGTGATGTGTAGATGAGGTCAGACTCTTTAGTAAATTAATCCTGAGCTAAACACATCCATTCGTTCCTGATATATTTCTTAAGCAAATACCATGTGCCAGCACTGTCCTGAATGCTGGGCCACAGACAGTACTACCCAGCTTTACTGCACAACTTATCACGAGCAGCAGCACGTACAGCATGAAATCCTTTCAGAAAATGAACCTTTTTAGAACTTCCATTATCAAAAGGTCCCAGTTGTGATGACAGGAAGGCATGGGTCTGCTTTCCAGAGCCCCACTTCACTCTGAGCACAGTTTAAAAAACCGAAATAAACAAACAACAAAAAAAGTCCACTTGTGTGACAGAAAGAGCAAGGGCCAGGTGAGAGCTAAAACCTACCTGGTGTAAATTGTAACAACTCTGCCGACCACATTTAAGGTGGCAGTTATTAACCAGAATGAGGACACTCTCACCTGCTTCAGAGTAATTTTTTTGTCTTATAATTACCAAAGTTTTCCACAGTAGTATTTTTCTATTAAAAACAAATCTAGAAAAAGATATGGTGATATAAATAAAAGTACAGAGACAATATACAATAAGAGAATCAAAGTAGTTTAACCACCAAAATGTTTAACACATATCAGAGTTGGCAGGCCTGGCCATGACTATACAGCAAACAGCCAGGGTGGTGGCTCACACCTGTAATCTCAGCATGTTGGGAGACAGAGCTGGGTTGATCACTTGAGGCCAGGAGTTCAAGACTAGCCTGGGCAAGACAACAAAATCCCACCTCTACAAAAAAAATTTAAAAATTAGCCAGGCCTGTTGGTGTGTACCTGTAGTCCCAGCTATATGGGAGGTAGAGATGAAAGGACCACCTGATGAGCCCAGGAGTTGGAGGTCACAGTGAGCTACAATTATACTACTGCACTTCGGGCTGGGTGACACAGTGAGACTCTATCTCTTAAAAAAAGAGAGAGAATGAAGCTCCAATCAGAATTTCTCCCCGTTATTAGATTGCCCTTACCTTCCAACCTCTGCTCTCTGACCTGGGTTGGTGATGGCCGCGATATATTGCATAATGTACTTACTGGCTTCTGTTTTACCAGCTCCACTTTCCCCTGGGGGGAAAAATTGTACAGGGCTTAAATATTATAATTTTATTCAATAGTAAACCACTTTTTAATAAAATAATTTAAACTTTTGCATTGCTTATTCATTCAAAATCACTCATGTTGCATTGTTTCATTTATTTTTGCTTCTTTAGATCTGAATATGTTGAAGAATAAAACTGTTAGTAAAGTAAAATAATGAGTAGACTACAAATCAAGATTTACTCTAGGAAAAAACATCTGCAATAAAAATGTGATGAACTAAGGCTAAAGTTTTAATACTTGGCAGTGGCTCCTAAGTCCAGTAAAAAAGAAATAAGGCAGTGAGGGCAGTGCCCGTGGCTCAAAGTAGTAGGGCGCTGGCCCCAAATACCGAAGGTGGCGGGTTCAAACCTGGCCCTGGCCAAAAAAACTGCAAAAAAAGAAATAAGGCAGGGACTCAAAGAGTGGATACAGCTAAAGTCATATAACCTGATTTTCTACAGAATTTCTTTTAATCTTAAAGGTGGTAAAATAATTCTTTAAAAATTTTTACATATTTATGCCTTCTGACTCCCAAATTCCACACAGAAATTTCTAAGGAAACACTAAAAAATACTAACATGGACAATAGTATAATAATAATCTTTAAAGGGTTTAAAATATTTCTATAGATAACACTGTATGTCATAGCTAAAATCTGGAAATAACATATCCATCAGTAAAGAAGTATATTAAATAAATCATGATTTGATTGCTTATTGGAACAGGACATAATCATTAAAGAGAATGCACTAGCTTTCTAGGTGAGCTAATGAAAAGATGTCCATTGCTGGCTCGGCACCTGTAGCTCAGTGAGTAGGGTGTTGGCCGCATATACCAAAGCTGTAGGGTTCGAGCCTGGCCCGGGACTGTTAAACAACAATGACAACTGCAACCAAAAAATAGCTGGGTGTTGTGGTGGGCACCTATAGTCCCAGCGACTCAAGAGGCTGAGGCAAGAGACTTGCTTAAGCCCAAGAGTTTGAGGTTGCTGTAAGCTGTGACACCACGGCACTCTACCAAGGGTGACATAGTGACACTCTGTACCCCCTCCCCCCAAAAAAGACGTCCACTGTATACTGTTAGTTGGAAAAACAAGTTATATAACAGCGGGCATAATATAATTCCATAATGTTACTATACTTTTATAATATAATTAGATTTGCATTTGTGATGATAGTATTTGCACCTGAAGAAAAAATGAATAAAAAGATAAACACCAAGCTGTTAACAACTGCGATTGCTGGGATTTGGGGGGAATGAGATATTCAAGGGGTTGAGACTTTATGCTTTTTACTTCACACACACATAATCACTTTCTTTCTCTTCCTTTACAACCTGGCAATATTGTTTTTGTAATTTGTCTCAATAAAATGTAGTCCTAGGATTTTAATTCTCTGATTTCAACACTAGGTTACCTAATTCTTCTGACCTTTAATATTCTTTGTTCTACATATCACTCAGAATTCTTTTTTTTTGGGGGGGGGGACAGAGTCTCATATGTCACCCTCAGTAGAGTGTTGTGGCATCACAGCTCATAGCAACCTCAAACTCTTGGGCTTAGGTGATTCTCTCACTTCAGCCTCCTGAGTAGCTGGGACTATAGGCACCTGCCACAATGCCTGGCTATTTTTTTGTTGTAAGTGTCATTGTTATTTAGCAGGCCTGGGCTGGATTTGAACCCACCAACCCTGGTGTATGTGGCTGGCCCCCTAACTACTGAGCTATAGGTGCTGGGCCTCAGAGAGTTGTTTTGATAACCAAAATGGCATAATGATCATAAAAGTGTTTTTAAAAGCTTAAAACTGGCTCAGTGCCTATAGCTCAGTGAGTAGAGCACCAGCGGGTTAGAGCCTGGCCCGGGCCTGCTAAACAACAATGACAACTGCAACAAGAACAACAACAACAACAAAAAAGCCGGGCATTGTGGTGGGTGCCTGTAGTCCCAGATACTTGGGAGGCTGAGGCAAGAGAATCAGTTAAGCCCAAGAGTTTGAGGCTGCTGTGAGCTGTGATGCTATATAGCACTCTACCAAGGGCAACATAGTAAAACTGTGCCTCAAAAGAAAAAATAAATAAATAAATAAACAAAAGCATAAAACTGCTAAAGCAGATGTGAGGTGCCATTTAACACCAAAAGAAATTCTCACAATTTGGAAGACCACCCTGGGTGAGTGAGCATTTTTCTTGTCCCATTTCACTGTGTGAGATTCTCTAAAGGTCTCAACCTTCCGTAGATAGTTCAGCTCTAGTTCTTGGGTGCGCGGGGTCTAGAGCTCATTATCCTCCTCAACGGGCTTTAAAGCTGGGGTCCTCAGCTCTGAAAGCCTATTTCTGGCCCCAAAGCCCCTGTGGGACCTGTAACACTAGCTCCTATGCACCAGTCTGATGAACTTTTGAGTTCTTCCTTCATTTTTGGCCCCTCCGGATTTTATTCTTAAAATAAAATTTTATTTAAAATAATTTTAAATAATCAAAATAATTTTTGTTATATTTCACCCAGTACTTTTACGTGTTTGGGAGGGGAAAAAGCATTTTCTATGGCAGCTTAAGTCTACAAACTGGGCAGCCGTCATCCAAGTGAAATAAGTATTTGTAAATGAACCAAGACTAGAGAATGATCAGAAACAATATAAATAATTGGGCATTTAATGTTAATTATTTTTCCTCTCCTATACAATGGCTCAGGTTTCCAACCTTAAGAAACAATTAATTGTCCAGATCCTTGAATAGCAAATAAGTTACACGTGCTGACCCTGGAAATACAAGGGACCCCTCCAAATACCTGATATCACAATACAAGTGTCTTTGGATCGCCTCTTCATAGCCTTGTAAGCAGCATCCGCAATGGCAAACAGATGAGGGGGCCTCTCATACAGCTCACGTCCTTTGTACTGCTCAATTGTGTCTCTTCCATAGATGTTCAGCACCTTGTAAGGATTCACAGAAACGACGACTTCTCCAATGAATGTGTAGATGCGCCCTTTCTCGAATCTGTACACGCACAAAAGAAAAGGAAGAAGTAGCTGTGTTTATAGAGAACGCAATTTCTTTCCTTGACTATCTTTTTTTTTGGCAGTTTCTGGCCAGGGATGGGTTTGAACCTGCCACCTCCGGTATATGGGGCTGGCGCCCTACCCCTTTGAGCCAGAGGCGCCGCCCTGCAATTTCTTTCCTATGAGTCTCTTATTTCCAAGCAAGTCCAGCTGCCCCAGGGACAATTTCTGAACTGATATTTCCTTAGTTCTGAGTGAACTTTTAGAGGCAATGTTTGAGGCTGTGCCCCTTGAGATGCCAGTGATAGAAAAGACCAAAAGGGGTTAAAAGCCAGGCAGAGAAAAAAGAATTTAACTTGGTGGAGGCTGCAGGTTTCCTTCTAAAACACAGAAAGGTAAGAAGAAGAAAAAAACTAAAAATAGGTGACGACAACATCAGAGGTCTAAGGAAGAAAAACAACAGAAGGTAATACAGGTCTTGAAATCTACTCAGATTTTCAATTATAAAGAGACTTTCCATATCTTCTTCCTCTTGAAATCCTTCTTCCTCTTGAAATCTCACTGAAATGTTGGCAAATGAATAAAAAAAAATTGAACTTGTAACAAAGAGAAGACTAGGGAAATCATTTCTGGTATAAATCAAATTTATTTGTTTAATGACTGCCTAAATCCCATGGTATAGATATACTATTATTTATTCAATGTTTCCATAATACTGCAAGGAACACTCTGGATATATATTATAGATTGGTGCTTTATTTCTTTGGGATAGATTCTTAGGGATGACATAACTGGTTGAAAGGTATGTGTATTTTTTGAGTAAATACAATACAATCCCATCTTTTCCCCATAAAACAAAGGTTTAAAAAATGACCCCAAATATGTATCTGTCTGTATATCCGACATAGATATATTTTACGAATGAGTATGTACACATGAAAGAACAAAGAACATGTGTTATGTTTTATGCATCATTTTATATATATAGTAGGGAGATGTGGCTGAGGGAATGGAGGAGGAGGCTATGTGGGCAGTTGAGAGAAGGCCACAGGACAAAGAAAAAAGAGTAAAAAGCCCCAGTGGATACGGTATGACTGCAATCATGCACATTTATGTGCCTATGTTTACAAACAAAATATTAAATATAAAATTTAGAAAATCCATATAATCCACTATTCATACAGTAAGCCACACATATAGTTGCAGGTGTCCCAGAGCTTGGACAATTCTACACAACAAGTGGTTGCCAACAATGTGTTGCACCTGCCAAAAAGCACAGGTGTAGCTCAGTTTCCAAGAGCTGGACAAAGGGAGTATCCAGACTGATGAACTTCTGGCCCAGAGATAGTTTTCTCTCCAGTCATGCTTGCTGTATGGCCAGTAGGGCAGGAAAAATAACTAAGGACCAATAGGCAAGAACTTTAAACTTCCTGGGAGTTTACTGCCAGAATGAAGGCTATCAAGCTATAATTAGGAATAGGAACAAACAGATACTGATAATGTCAACAATAAATTAAAATCAAGATTTTTATCAACCAGTTAATATGTATTTAAGAGTTATCAACTTCTTCTTCTGTGAATTTTTCTGTTGTAGTTTTTCTGTGTAGCCTCTCGATTGTTAGTAAGTTTATACAGTAGCTAAGAGCTCTGATTTGGAGCCCTTTACATTTGGATCTGAATGTTCACGCTGCAAATGTAATAGCAGCGAGACCCTGTGAAAGCTACTTATTGTCCACGTGTTTCAGCTTCTTCATCTATAAAATGGTGGTAATTATACCCCCAGTCCTCTAGCCTTGGGTAAATATTTTTTCTTTTTTCTTTTTTTAAAAAGGCAATTACCCCAACAATAAAAAATAAAACTAAAAAAGGCAATTACTCTTATACTTCTGATTATGTTATGCATGAAGGAGATTTTTAATAAATGTTTTAATTAATATTGCTATTGAGATCACATGATCTTATTCCCTGTCTCAGCTGTTAATCAACTCAGGTCACAAGGAAAAATGTCTATATAATGCATTTTCAAAGACCTACAAAAATAACAAAAAGCTAAGATTCACCACTCATGTCTTTCTGTCTCAACCTGCAAATGTGAAGTACGTGCTCAATAGGGATCTCCAAGAGAAAAAAATTAAAAGGATAAAATTCTTTAGTTTTTAAATACATTTTTCAAATAGGAAAAAAATGGAAAAAAGACACAGAAGGATGTTAAAAAAAATGATCTCATGAAGCTGGAACTCTGTGACTAAGAGACACAGCAAATAATGTTCTGAGATTAGAATGTTGTTCTGTTTCCGGGTTTCTCCAATAATGTACTTTCCTTCTCACTGGATAATTTTTAAAGCCAATAAGACAGTGGTTCTCAATCTTCCTAATGCCGCGACCCTTTAATACAGTTCCTATGGGTCGTTGAGAACTGCTGCACTAAGAGATCACGTTTCCCTAAAATTCCATTTTATTTCAAATAATTTGTTTATCAAAACCTCTAGGCACCATGTTGGTACAATACAATTAAAATACACTTGTGTATCAAATAACTGAATGCATAAACTATTAACTTGAAGATGGTGGCAAAGGCTCAATGAAATAGGATATTAGATGCAATGCTTTACCAATTTCCCAAACATCAGAAGCTTACCTATTTGATTTGGTCATCAAATATGAAACTTTCAATTTGGCTAGGTCTGAAGATTACCACTAGATGGTGCCAGAATACACTTTAACATCAACTCAAGATAACCATTTGCTGTTAGTGCAAAGCACTAAGGTAACCTAGGCACCTGAGCATGCTGCAGTAATTATCCTTGATGACACATGGGGTGATACCACCTCTTACAAGAGACCAGGGAAAGCACTTCTATGACCTCTGTGTATGAGCTCTTTTATGACAAACTTTTATAATTCATTTTCAACTATTTATTCAATATCTATTTTGTGTTAGACACTGGGCCTTAACCCTGAGAATTTTTTAAAAGGAGTAAAGTACTGTAAATACATAATAACAACACAGTACGATAGCAGACATAATAAAAGTATATATTATAGTGTGAGGATTATAACCACCTCCTTTCAATGAGGAACACGTAAGAATAACACCAAAAAGCCACAGCAGGGCAGATACGGTCTGGTCTCCAGGCTTCTCCTCACTTACCTCCTATCTGCCAATAGCACTTTCACCCAACCAAACATCCCCCATCTCTTTCTCTGTCATTCTTGCTCTCACATTAATGAGCTATTTACAGTTCCCCAGGGGTCCATGCCCCATAAGATTCACTCTGCCTGGAATACCTTTCCCCCATCCATTCTCCCACCATGTGCTTGCCAGATTCCCACTCATTCTTCAAAAGCCTGAGCACCAGTTCCTCTAGGAAGTCATTCCTGACACCCTATCTCCAACGCCAGTTTTATAGTCTTTGCTCTGTTTACTATTTTCCCTTTAGAACTTCCCAAATGGTTAAAATAGTTTAATAGCAGTTGATTTTTTTAAACTTAATTTCCTTAATGAGCTTAAAAATATTTATTGAAAGGGTCAGATATTTTCACTGGCTTCCAAATGAAACAAAGGGGGTTTTAACAGTTTTGAATGAATGAGCAGCAATGAGGAAAATGTAAAGGCAATGCCTGTGGAGAACAACTGTCCACTATGCATGAATTCTGAACTCTTTACGCTTTTTAAAGTAGCCTTGTATACTGCCATTTATATATATGACCATCTACAGTGGGAAGTGGGGATGCAGGCGGCTCCCTGAGGTCAGTCACAGCACAGCCCTCTGGAGAAGCATGAAACGCTGAGAGGGGCAGAGGTGTGCAGAACTGCAAGGTGGCTGGCCCCACCAGAACAGGAAAGCTCATGCTGGTGAATGTTAGGGAACAGCTGGCAAAGGATGATGGACTCAGGTTCAATATGATATGATGGGCTCTAAAACCCGGCCTAGGAAATTTAAATCTGAAGTGTCTGGACCAAGCAATCAGTGAAGACTGTTGTAGTTAGACAGGTCAATAGGTGCTCAATGAGGAGGTAACAGCAGAAACGAGGAAAGAAAAACTGAACCTATCTTAGTTTGAAAACTTACTGAACAGAAACGATAAAAAGATATTTAACTCTGAGCTAGGTAGAAGAGAAAAAGGAATTTCCTTCAGATGACATAGATTTCAAATGTACTCCTGAAGCTTCTGTGTTAGATTCACCCCTAACAGAGTTCAGTGTTATCCTTGGTTGACTTTGTAAAATATATAGAATCGATTATCATCAGGAGGAAAATTCCCTGTAAATGGTCTGCTAGGCATTGTATTTAATAAAATCTTTATTCATATATATGTGTTACTCATTTATTTCAGGAGAAACGACACCTTCTGAATAGGTGTTGCTTAATCACACTGACTGGCCTGTCTTCCTTCCCTTTTCAATGCAAATGAAATCTTAAGTTGCTAGGAGCATTCATAGCTCACAGGAGAGATGTCCATGTAGAAATGCCCTTTTCTTTGCCTTTCATTATTTCCTCGATCAATTCCTATCTGGGTTTCACTTCTGCACTTCCATAAATCTTGATCAAACTTCCCAAGTAAGTGCCCAGGGAAAGTGCTAAATTCATCAGTTGATTCTCTGTCCTCATCCTACCTAGTTCCTCAGCAGCATTTGACACTGACTCCCGTTCCCCTGACACACTCTTTTCATGGCTTCTGTAAGGCCACATTCTCTATTTTCCTCCTACTTCCCTGGTTTTCCTTCTCAGTCTCCTTTGCTGGAGCCTCCTTTTCCCCTGATCTCTAAATTTTCAAGTTCTCCAGGGTTGAGCCTAGTATCTTCTTCAAATACCATCCAAAGGACTCTCAGTCAAGGGAAATAATGATACCTCAGCTCTGTTCTACCCCCTGAAAATCAACAGGGAGCAGGACCAAAGAAAACCAAGCCAGAAAACAAGACATCACCTATTAAGAGACAGAAAGCTAGTGACAACTCTGAACTGCACTTTCTCCAGAAAGACAGTGGAATGCTAT